ATTTTATTTGACATTACTCTACTGCAATACGTTATTATCTAGATGATTATTATTATCGTTATTATCACTAGATTCTTAATCTAAAAATGTTTTTGTCTTGACATGTAATGCTTTACATTTTATTTTTTTAATTTCCAATCGGTGAGTTTTATCAAAAAACACAAGAGGTAAAAAGTTTCTAAACAAACTAAACTATCCAAATTAAAGCGTTTGCATGTGTTTGATAAGATTTTTCTTTAAATTTCGTTAACAGAATGATAGGGGTAGTTTATTTCAACCCCTTCCACTCATTTTAAAAAGTAAAAATTACCTGAAAGTGTGTTTTTCATAACAGTAATGTTTACCACTAAAATTTCATTAGTCTATCTCTTTTCGTTTTCAAGATAAAAAATAAAAACATTATTTTTCCGTCATCTTTTTACAGCGATACCCTAATGGTTGACTTTTGACCCAACGTTTATAAAGCAAACTACCCTTTATTTTGAACAAGGAATCACCCCCTAAAGTTTTCCGCATTTGTTTTGAAACACCCTGTATATCCTTAAAAATCCAAGTTCTTAAATTTAAGGAAACTCCAAAAAAGCATAAAACGGAGGCGTAGAATAAGTGTAAAAGTTAAAATATTTATTAACGCTTTATAGAAATCGTTTTTAAAAATATCCAATTTGACTAAATATAACTTATAAACAGTATTTAAATATAGAAAGAATAATATGAAATTTCAACTCAAAATATAGTATCCACGAGCACTTTTTAAAATTATTGAATACATTGTTAGCCGGGAATAAATGTTATTTAATTTTTTATTGCTATATTTTAAAATAAACGCACGTAGATTATTTTGAGCTAAAAGCGATATGGATGTTGTTTTCATATTTAAATTGTTTGATATTAAATATTTCTAAAAATGGTTGCGTTTCTCTACAGAGAAAAAAAATATAAAACTGTTTTTGCTATAGTAATAAATGATTTAATTTTTCACCTTGTTAGAATTTTAAATTAATTTTGTTGACCATGTTAGTGTGATATTTGATTATAGTCTACATTCAAGTAACATATTTTAAGTCCAAGGATGTAATATAAAAAGTCGTTACATATGAAAAACATTTCCTAATTTTTGGTGTTTTACAATATTATAGTAGGTCTAACTGGTCCCAACAAAATGTATAAACTCTGCAGAGTTATTAAATCCTATGATATATGCCTAGGAAAAATATGCATGCAGGGAAAGAACTTCATAGCCACCACCGTCCAGAGAAATAACTTGAGGTTTAATAAGTAATTAAATTTAAAGTCCATTTAATTGCGTCATTTTTTTTTTGCCAAGAAGTGAACTTTCTGGAGCCTCTGATCAAGTTAATATACCTACTTTTGAAGATCTACACTGCCTCATATCTGGTGTATTTTTAAAACGTTTTTTTTTTAGTTTGTCAGGCGTTTTCTGTTCAAATTCATCTATATATATAAATCTGACTGTCCTGACTGATACTGACTCATCAACGCCCAGACCAAACCCTTGGCCCTAGAAAGCTGAAATTTTGCACAGGGGTTCCTTTTATGATGTTTACGTAAGATAAGAAAGGATTTTTAAAAATTCATCCCCTAAGGGGGTAAAAAGGGGGGTGGAATATTACAATATTTTTTATTTAAAAAACGGTCAATTTCCGAAAAACGCTGAAACACGTATATTTTATTTTCTTTTTTTACATATTTTCAGATTTTTTAAAAATGTATACAGGGTGTTTCTTTGAAAATCTGGTCATTGATTAATCACGATCCTGCTTAAAGCGCTTGACGTAAAAAGCTGATTTTTGGAAAACTGGATTGACTTTAGGTGTAGGAGGTTCGATAAGAAGGGATTTTACGAAACTCGAATTCTAAGGGGTGAAACGCCCTCAAATATTAGAATATTTTTTATTTAAAAAACGGTCAAGTTTCCGAAAAAACGCGTAAACACGTATATTTTATTTTCTTTTTTTACATATTTTAAGATTTTTAAAATGTATACAGGGTGTTTCTTGAAAATCTGGTCATTGATTAATCACGATCCTGCTTAAAGCGCTTGACGTAAAAAGCTGATTTTTGGAAAACGGATTGACTTTAGGGTGTAGAGGTTCGATAAGAAGGGATTTTTCGAAACTCGAATTCTAAGGGGGTGAAACCGCCCCTCAAATATTAGAATATTTTTATTTAAAAAACGGTCAAGTTTCCGAAAAAACGCGTAAACACTTATATTTTATTTTCTTTTTTTACATATTTTAAGATTTTTTAAAAATGTATACAGGGTGTTTCATAAAATATGGTCATTGAGTAATCACGATTCTGCTTAAACTGCTTGACGTTTAAAGCTGATTTTTGGCAAACGGATTGACTGTGGGGTGTAGAGGTTCGATAAGAAGGGGTTTCTCGAATCTCAAATTCTAAGAAGGGTGAAAACGCCCCTCAAATAATCTATACTAATATATAAAATTCTTAAGTGACTCACTGATTAATCACGGTCCTGCTCAAACCACTCAACGTAAGAAGCTCAATTTTGGCATACAGGTTGATTCTAGGTGTAGTGGTTCGATAAGAAGGGATTTTCGAAATCCCAGTTCAAGGGGGTGAAACCACCCCGCAAGTATTACCATATTTTTTATTTAAAAAACGATCAAGTTTCCGAAAACGCTTGAACACGTATATTTTATTTTGTTTTTACATATTTTAAGATTTTTAAAAAATGTATACAAGGGTGTTTCTGAAAAAATCTGGTCATTGATTAATAGCTCGATCATGCTTAAAGCGCTTGACGTAAAAAAGCTAATTTTTGGAAAACGGATTGACTTTTAGCGTGTAGAGGTTCGATAAGAGGATTTTTTCCAAACTCGAATTCTAAGGGGGTGAAACCACCCCTCAAATATTAGAATATATTTTATTTAAAATCCGGTGAGTTTTTCGGAAAACTCTTAAACACGTATATTTTATTTTGTTGTTTTACATATTTTAAAATTTTTTAAAGAATTTATACAAGGTGTTTCATAAAATAGAACCATTGAGTAATCACGATTCTGCTTTAAAACTGCTTGACGTTTAAAGCTGATTTTGGAAAACGGATTGACTGTGGGGTGTAGAGGTTCGATAAGGAGGGGTTTCTCGAATCTCAAATTCCAACAGGGTGAAACGCGCCTCAAATATTACAATATTTGTTATTTGAAAAAAAACGGTTAGTCTTTTCAGGAAAACGCGCTTGGACACATATAATTTATTTTGTTTTTTACATATTTTGAAATTTTTGTAAAAAATTATACAGGGTGTTCCAAAAAATTAGGTAATTGATTAACCACGATTCTGCTCCAGTTTGTATGTTAATGGAAATTCTTGCTTTGCTTTATCATATCACCATTACAAATTACAAATGATTAATTCGACGTGAACGAAGTCGCGGGTACATGCTAGTTGTATTTATAAACCAGGTCTCTTTTTCATTAATTTTTTTCCTGATTTCAAAGTTTAGTGTCTATTTCATTTCCCGTTAGTATAATTAGTAAACTTACAAAACATAATTATTACAGGTATACCTATATATTATTACAGGTTCTGAAGCATTTCTGGCTCTCCTGTAAAATTAGTAAAATAAGCGCTTATCATGTTTTTCTCCTGGACCCTTCAATAGATTTACAAATATGTTATACCGTACTGGCAACTGTTACTTTTGGGTCGGCATTTACATGTGTGGAAGTAAATCGCATAGGGATCTTATTAAGTCGGAGTGAGAGAAATGCGATCGGCTGACGCGACGCGCGACGGTGTGCTGTTGCGGCGTTGCCGGTACGCCTTTCCCTATCAAGTAAAGTAAAATCACGATCGCAAACCGCTTATTTTTAAAAGACTTTTATTTTCAAGAGATAACTAGATAAAATCATTAGACATGTTTCTAAGCATCTGAAATGGAATTATAAGGATATCGTTAAGGTGTCATTTTTTTTATAACGAGAAAACGTCAGTAATCGCGATAATTTAAAAACTCAACTTTTTAACACATAACAGGCCATAACTCAAGAACCACTTTAGATATTGAAACTTTTTTTTATTTTCAAGATCGGATATTTTACAATATGTTAACATAAGAAAAATTCGATAAGGTTGTTTTTTCCATTCAAAAATTGTAAACAATCCATCTATTTACTTTTAGAGCATAGCAATTTTCAGCAATCGTGTAATTTTTTTTCACATACTGTCTACAAAGAAAATACATCATAAATATTAACAAAGTTCTTGAAAAAACTACAATCTATTATTTCTAATAGATTTCGAGATATCAATTTTTGAATTCAGAGTTCTAATAGCGCGACCACTATCGAACACCCACTCAATTCCACTTATTTTTACCAAAAATGCAAGTGTTTCTAGCTTGCACTTAAAAAAAATTCAAGCTATAGGGAAAATTACAACGACTCGTTAATAAATAAACAAATTAAGTATCACGAGATGTAATTAAATCGTGAAGCTGAACGCATGACGTACACCTTTCCCTAGAACTTTAAGTACTGACAGAGGTATTGATTGGGTCGACCTGTCAACTGCGACAAATCTGCTATATCCCCTTCCACGTCTCTTAGCAATGTGCACAGTTTCTCGGTTTATTTCATACGTTTGGCAGCGTGTTTACTGTCCTCTCTTTGTTCAGTACATTATAAACGCATTGTACTCTTCTTACATACGGAAATCTCGACCCAAGACTAACCTTTGCCAGCCCTTAGTATGTTGTTAGGCATGATACGTAATATTTTATCTTTATGAGTTAACCTCTAAATTGCAAAATATGTAAACAAACCATTGATATAAAATATGCAATAGTTCAAAGCCATTTAACAAGGAATTTTATGTAAAATTGTTCAACCAAGATGGGGGTGAATATATTTTGTAATCGATTCTTAGCAAAATACAGAATGTGTTAAAAATAATATTGCACTCAAAAAACGTTTTACTCTACATTCTAATATTTGTTCTTTGTTACTTACGGTGTATATCTAATTTCCATCCATCTTCAATTCCACTGTCGGAGATTTGGGGTTGTTGACCTCGGCAAGATAGGTACTTCCCTGAGTCTTCAACAGTTGGTACGAATGTTAAAACACTGGTAGTTACGTTGCCGTCTGGACTTGTCTGAAATAAACAAATAACATTATTTAGTTAACCATTTGTCAAATTAAAGTATCTAGATATTCGAGTTTTTATTTTTTAGAGATTAATTTGCTCTTAACTGCAAACTTTGGAATTTTCATTGTTAGGTACTAATTTAATCTCAGAGTTTGACAGGGCAAGTTTAACGCCCTTTAAACAAGAAAGCACTAAAAAATCACAAGTTTTATCACAGTTTGGCGCTAATGGACGATCTATACAGGGTGGTAGAAATTCGGGGTACGAGCATTGGTATCTGGGAAACCGTAATAGATACGAACATTGTTAAAATGGGACAAAGTTGCGCCTTGGGATGTTCAACAAGATGCCATTAAAAAAGTTGTAAAATTTTCAAGGATTGCTGAGTTTTTCGGAAAAAACGGATATTTTTGAAAATCAATTTTATTTTTTCCTGTCGTTAATTTTTAATAAATCAAAAAAAACGAGCACATTCTCATAGCCACTTTATTAGGGCTATCTGACAGTGTTTTTAGATTTTCAAATTAGCTGATAATTTGTGAGATACAGAGGCGATTTTAATTTTTTTAAATGCGGACCTGCATTTTTTATTTCCATTGTTTATTCCTACATCTTTATATACAGGGTGGTCCGAACTGTATTCCGGAAACTTCCACAGCATATTTTACTGATAAAAATAAGTAAAAAAGTTCATATAAATGTATGTCTTAAAATGCTTAGTTTCAGAGAAGTTTCATTTTTATTTCAATTTTTTCCAAATAATTTCTGAAGTGACGTCAATATTAGGATGAAAATAGGTGTCTGGGAGTTTTTTGACGTGATAAATTTGATTTTGATGTCAATATCACTCCTCTTTGTAGGGGGCGCCACCTACATGTGTTTTAACTGTTTTGAAGAGTAATAACTTTTTGTCCATACCTGTATAAAACTACTGAGTGAAAAAATATACATTTCCGTGATTTCCTACGTCAAAAATATCTCTTGGTAAAAATCGCTACGAGCAACCGTTCTCAAGATATTTAGAATGGAAATAGTCAATACATGTCATTATTGACTAAAAATAAACGTGTTGAGTAGTTAGTTATTTGATTGAAATGGAAAATTTGGGAAATTCTTATCTTTTTAAACTAACCATAAATTGTTGCACAAAAACATTTCAAATTTATGATTTCAGTCTAATAACTATTTAGTCAACATGTTTAATTTATGTCAATGATGACAGGTATTGGTAACTTCGATTCCAAATATCCCAAGAACCATTACTCGTAGCGATTTTTACCTACAGACCTTTTTCCGTAGAACACGTCATAAATGTATATTTTTAACTCACTAGTTATATACAGGTACGGACGAAAAGTTATTACTCTTCTAACCAGTTAAAAAATATGTAGATGGCGCCCTCTACAAGTAAGAGTCATATTGATAACAAAATCAAGTTTCTCATATCAAAAAACTCCCAAACACCAATTTTCATCGAAATATTACGTTACTTCAGAAATTATTTGGAAAAAATCGATATAAAATTGAAACTTCTACACCCTGTATCTCCGAAACTAATCATTTTAGGGCATACATTTATACGAACTTTTTTACTTATTTTTATCTGCAGAATAGGCTGCTAAAGTTTCCGGAATACAGTTCGGATCATCCTGTATATCGTAGGTTATATTTTTTATTTTGTAACGATTGGATTTTCGTGAAACAAACACTAAAAATAATCGCTTCATCGTCATTTATTTTTCTTTTTAAAGTGGTATAAAAATCCTTTCCATGTTCAGAAAATTTTCTTCTCGAACTTTTAGAAGAAGAAAATCGATAAAGTATGTTTGTGTTGGGTGGTCTACCTTCGAGCGATTTTTAAAATGATCATTCATGTATTAACCGATTTAGTGCTTCTTGTTCATAAATATATTTTGTATACAGAAACAACCATAATAAAAACACACCGCGTAAAATTTAAACCATCTGCACCTTGCCCTAGGCTAAAATATAATTGAGTATAAACAGTTTTATGTTTTACTTTCTAATTTTTGGGTAGTAAAACAATATCCACAGGCATACATAGAACAAAGAACGGAAAATGATTCTTTCGCACTAGTAAGCACTAGTGGTTTGTATATTTTGCATTTAACAGAGTGAGAATATTATAGGTTAAGTTTATAAAATTTTCTTTACTTTTATAGGTACGTAATTTAAATGCGTGGTTTTAATATATTATACAGGGTTCGGGAATAGTGCGTCGGGCATCTGTAGCTTCTAAAATAAAAATTTAGCAATTTTGTTTAAGTTCAGGAAAATAATTTAACCTCTACAGGGTGACCCAAAAAGGGTGAGTGGATCAGGATTGTTTTTTAAACAGAATACCCTGTATCTTAGCATATCCCGCAATAGCGTAGATTTGTGCTTGAAGTACCTATACTGGGGTAGGTGCCCATTGCATTGGTTCGGAGTAATTAGTTTTCGGTCGAAATACTCCCATCCCTGTCCCTGCTTAGGTAATTTGTAGGTTACTTAGTCAACTACTGACTTGTAGGCAACTTTTGTCGCCAGCACCATTAGTGGTAGGAATTTTATTATCTCCATACAAACTCGGGGCAATGAACTGCGTTTCAGAAACTAGTACCTAAATATAAACGGTCACAAAGACAATTCAATATTTAATTTGGCTATAATAGATTAAAACAATTATACGTGACCCTATAAGCATCAACATAAATATTTGAGTGATACAACATCAAAAGAGAGACAAAAGAGTAGCAAAAAATCCGCTATAGTTTAATAAATCGTTAGATGATGCACACAATATTAGGAATTAGTAAGTATATGAAGGATATATAAGAAATTTGGCAGATAAAAATACACAATAAGCGAGAAAAAAAAAACAGGAAATATATCGAAATAATAAAATACATACATAGTTGTTTCTTCATTTACAAAATTTATTTCATAGATTTAGTTAAGTTACTAATAAGAAATCAATTAAATATTGATGTTGCAAACTAGAAAACCGTAAAAAACATTTCACTTTAATTTGATCAGCAAGAACTTTACGTGTACTTTCCCTTAATTCTCTAAAAGCTGTCGGGATTCTTCATAAAATTGAGTTATTGTTTCTTTGCCTCCCTTTTCTCCGAGCGTCCATCTATTCACTTCCCGTTGACAAAAATTCGTTTAGGGAACAAAGTAAATACTGCAAACCGCTTCGAAGCTATATTATATAAAGAAATAAAAGCGTATTTTTTTCACCAAAATAACATTACGTACCGTTTCCAATTTATGTCGTTTATTAAGAGAATTTAATATTATTGAGCGGGATTCAATCGCGATGGCCATTAGGGTCACTTCCGGCAGTTTCTGATATTTTCCGGTCTGTATCGTCGGATTTGTATTGATTTCGTATTTGGCGGTTATCTATAAAACAATTCCGACTGGATTTTAATTAATAAAATATCAAAGTCCCGGCAGTAATTCGTATTGAAGTTAGATTTATACGTATATAAAAAACCTAAGCGTACTAAATATTTATATAAAAAAAAAATTAAAACCACTTCTAAAAATAATACAATATAATAAAAAATAGACCGTATTGTGCTTAGAGCTTTTGTTTTATATTTATAATCAGCACGGTAAAGTATCTAGACGTTATCCGTTACCTTTAGGGCTCGAACACACTGTCGACTATAGTGTGACCAACGGATCTATAGCTACGGGGTATCGGCAGGGGAACGCAGTTGTAAACAAAACACGCCCAATTTCATTCATAAAATAGGCATGGGTGTACGGTGTTATATGAAAATAATGCGTATCATGAATATAATACTCAGATTAATATTTTTTTTTTTTCAAAAAACTTTATGCTGTTTTAATCGTTACTGTGGAGTTCGCAGATAAACACTAAAAGCTTTTATTAAAGCTCCCTTAAATATTTTGAATTATTTTATTATTGTGTTGTTAGTATAATAGAAGAAATAATTACAGCTGGGGGTTGGAACCTTTGATGTTACACAGCAAAAAAAGCACTAAATCAGTACAATACCTTTGTTGTACCAAACCAAAACACTTTTAATTTCTACACTGGACGCATCACTACAGAATCATGTCTGCCATCAGTAGATGATCAAGACTGAGTCTTACAGACATTTATTTATTTATATATCTGTAATTAACTATATTTCTTTTTCTATAATACATATTTTAGATATAACTATTTCCAGCAAAAAAAAAAATCTTGAAAATAGTTAACTTTGGAAGTAAAACAAAACATAATTTAATACCCACCATATGATCCACATTGACTATTATATTACACTAAAAGATTTTTATTACTAACTAGATTAACTGAAAGCATCTTTAAAAATACAGAGATTTTTACACTAAAACTAAAAAAAAAAAAAGTTACACATCAAAGTTAGTTTTTTTTTAATTGATTTTCGGATTGTGGGATAAAAACAAAGGTGAGTTTCATTAAAGAAGTATATGACTGAAATGTGCAAGAGTTTTTGAGGATATTTAACATTTTCTAAAATAGAGAAATAATTTTTAGACACTACAGCACTGAACTTGGAATGCACTAGGCTAGCCAAATAAGGTAGAAAATAGCTGGAGGACTTGTCCCAAGGCCTAAGACTTGACCCAAAAAGTTATCCTAGGTGAGACAAAACACATTATGATGGGACACTTTTAAAAGCAACTTTCATTTTAAATGAACACACAGTATATTATTTCGATATTCTGAGAATTCATGTCTCAAAATATTATAAAGGTTGCCTACCTCAAACAAAAATTTTCCTGATATTTACCTACATGATTTAGTGCAGTAGATCTCTTTATTATTGACAAAATCTAGGTAGCTGGTAATATGCCTGATGTTACTTCAATATAGCTGCTGTCAAATTAGTTCAACTTTAACAACTCGTTATCATTTTGCCAAGTTAAAAGAAAACAAATTCAAAGAGGAAAGAGAGAGAACACAAAACATCAGAGAGAGTAACACGACATGTATCTAG